AAATTGCAACTGAAAGGGAAAGAGGAGTTTTTAACTATGGAGTCCAGCAGCGCAAGAGGATGCTTCGGCCTAGGGGCAGCCCCCAAGTGGCAAATTGTGAACCCTGTTTTAGGTCCCATACTCAGGACTGTGAGGGGTATGTTCTTCAATTCTTCGTAATTGCTGTTTTAATTGGAAGTATGTTATCCATATGATTGATTTTGGATTATTGACAGTTGCCATGTGGAAACTTGCTTTAAAATATTTGATATGAATGTGGAAACTGCTATTATTGGAGCTAAGTGTGTCCAGAGATTTATCCTACAATGATAGTTTCTAAAGATAAAATTACTCTTATTGTTGTTGAAACCTTTAACCAAATTTGTCAGTGTCATCTATTCTTTAGTATGTTGGTTCTCTTAGATTGGTTAAATTGAGCATCATTCCACTTTAATAATTCAATAGTAAACTATAGTCTAAATTCATCATAACCAAGTTCCTTTACATCTTGCAGATGTCAAGGTAAGCTGTCATTTCCATTTTACGAAGCTGGAAATTTATTTGTGCACTATGGCTAATGGGTTGCAGGGGAGTTGGATGACGGGATCTCCTTCAGAGTACTGATTGGAATGCTGAAATCATTAGCTATCACTGCTTAATTGGATTTTTTTTTTTACTTCTTTCCTTTTCCACTCTCCTAATGCATTGGATATGCCAGAATGAGGTGTTAGCTTTCATATTTCCCATTTCCCTTTCTTTTCTTCTTTGTGCTGTATAATTTATTCTCAAGCTTCTATTAATTGGTAGTTTCTGGGCCTTTTTAGGTTTCTTTGTCACAACAAATGTGTAGGTTGTGTCAACAACTCGTGGTCTCTGTGTCATAAATTACTTCTATTAGTAAACATATTGGTGCTTACTGATGGATGATACAAAAAATAACTTGATAACATCGTAGTTCACAAGTTACTTGATTTCCTTTATATGGCTATTGAATTTACCTTCTGGTGCTCCAGGCAAATCTGAGGTACCCTCTGTCATTTATAAAGTTAGTGAATGCATGCAAGACCTGATAAAGTTATGGATGGAGTATGAAGCATCTCAATCTGATAAACATGGTGAAAACAACCACAAGGGACCCACTCTTGAAATTCGAATACCAGCAGAACATATTACTGCTACAAATCGCCAAGTAAGCTTGCTGCTGTATGTAATAGTTGATGCTTTTGCTTGTTTTCATCATATAATTTATTTCTTCTCTCATGTGTCTTTATTTCTTTCCTTTTTAATGTGTTCTTAAACTATCTTGGAATTGTATGTCTCTTGGCTCCATGGGGCTTGCACAAATGCTAAGGGGGTCAGAGGTGAGGGTATACTTAGTGATATTCTCTTTGAGCTGTGGACTCCCCATTACGTCATCTGATTTTTGTTTGACCATGCCTTTCTATCTTACCACAAGATATTGATTGTCTCTTGTGTGGGAGCTCGTGGGAAATTCTAAGGATGCATTGGGGTCAGAACTTTTAATTGCCAGTATTATTGAAGGATGATTACATACTGCATGCTTCCAAAACAAATAAAAAATGCTAAGTTATTAAACCTAAAATGTATCAGTTCATTTAATTTATTAGTTCCAAGTCATTCAAAGGCTCAGAAGTTTAGAAGTTCGAAAAAATTCAACATATTGCTATTTCGTGATGATTCTTGTGACACAGGAAGTTATAATACTTCTAAAGCTATCATCTAACTACTTAAACTACCAGATCTCATGGCTTTAATAAAAAAGTGATAATCCTTCCAATATGAAAATTGCTGCTGTCACTTCCCCTTCTATTATGAAAATTTAATTTATAATTGGTTTAAGTTTCAAACAGAAAGATTTACCAAAGGTTTGTTGTCTGTGAACTCTAGCCTCAACATTCTGACTCTTATTATCTGTTCTAAATTATGCTTACTAATTTTAATTTATTGTTTGAGTTGCTTGTAATATTCAATGAATCAAAGTATTTGAATTGTGAATAGTAAGGTTCTAACAACCTATGGAATTTCCATTAGCTTCCTTAAAAAGTTTCAAACCTTTTTACATTGTTTGATTAAGGGTTTCTTCATAGAGTCCGATTTTTATTAGATTGGTTACGTGAATTTAACTAGCCTTTATCCGAAAGTTTTGGGAGGTTTAGAATTGAATGATGAGATCGGTTGTGTGGGGTTCAGTTCCTTCTATATGTTTATGTGTGTCGTGTCTGCAAACCGAATTTTTGAAAGATACAGCTATTCTTAAATTTTAAGGTCAATTTGTTGGTAGATCTGTTGTATGTTATGTGGGTGCCTTTTATGTTCTGATGTGTACAAATTTTTACTGTGAATTGTCAGATGGTCAACTTTCATTAGAAGAGAAGAGGCCTCTATAAGAGCAATTATTTGACATCTCTAATATTACAGGATTTCTGCTCTCCATAGTTTGATGCCTTCATGTTTGGGTATTGGCTATTAGATAAGTATGCCCATCCTTAGGTCTTTAAGTTTATTAAGTGCAGGTAAGAGGTGGACAATTATGGGGGACAGATATATACACAAATGACTCTGATCTTGTCGCTGGTATGCTGTGATATGATGAACAGTACTAATTGTAGAATTTGTTTATATGTGAACTGAACAATATTGATGTTGCAATTTTGTTGCAGTTCTCATGCATACAGGCTACTTCCGTCCCACTGCTTCTCCTCCACCTGCCATCCAAGAGTTATGTGCTACTGTCAGAGTGTTGCCTCCACAAGATAGTAAGCCCCTTCTATCTCGCCTTCTTTATGATGATGCCATTTCTAAACACATTCACATCATGATCATGCAGTCAAATAATTCATGTAAATGTTACAAATCTGGATACAGCTATCCATTTGAACTTGTATGTCTTACATCTTACTTCAGAATGAAATTTGTGTTGTTTCTTGAAGTTCTTATGTTGGAAGTTTGTGAAAATAATGATATCACCTAGATGGTCTGAGTAGTTTGGGTTTTGGTTGAAGCCTAGTCAACTTTGTAATTGTGTCTGAGATTGGCCTTGTATAATGGATTTTGCTGACATCAAAATCATGCATAAGCCATATTCATATTTGCATAAGTGAATGACAAGGATGCAAAGATGCATTCCAAACAAGATAACTAGAGCTCTTAAAAAACCCAACATACTTGAACTGTGCTCTTTTGTCAATTGTCAAGATGACAATACTTCTTATAATAGTATATAGCTATATGAGAAACTTAAATGACGTACGTGGTTAAACGTTTCTTGCTAGTGTTGCCTTTCTGCATGTGTGTCCTTATCATCCATGCTTTACTTGTGTGGAATTTTAACACTCACTTTGATATGTGCATTAGGCTACATTTCTATGCTGAGAAATAATGTTCGTTCACGTGCCTGGGGAGCTGGAATTGGTTGTAGCTACCATGTTGAGCGTTGCTGCATCGTGAAGGTGGTGGAAAAAATTTCACAATTGTAGTTTTAGTCACCATTTTTCTGCAATTCATTGAGAACCTTCAGAAATGTCTGAGAGGGTCATAGTGGCATTGCTATTACCATCTTCAAGAATATTGCTTGCTGCTTGTTTTATCCTACAAAATCCTAGTCGTGAAATGCCTTCAATCATGGTTATTTGTAATTTCTTGTTTATTTCAGAAAGGAGGTGGAACCATCTATCTTGAGCCCTGTCTTACACATACATCAGCAGTGGAACCTACTCTTGCTCCTGTGGCTGTTGAGCGGACAATGACTACCCGTGCTGCAGCTTCGGTATGACATTGCCATTTTCTTCCATAATCCTTTGAGTTTATGTTCTCACTCTTTACTTCTCTGTATACTGTTCCTATATCAATTAGTAGAAATTTCATCTGAGGTAGAGCTCTTAGCAAATGTTTTACTCTTTATGATTTTGCTTATTTTAATGATAATTGCATGTTTGAGCTACTAATAAAAAGAGCTAAAATATTTCTGTGACCAAGCACTTTTCTGTTATTTGGATCTACTCACATTATGACAGCTTTTCTCTTTCAGAATGCATTGCGGCAACAGAGATTTGTACGTGAAGTTACAATACAGTACAACCTTTGCAATGAGCCGTGGTAGATTCTAGATCTTTTTGATAACTATGATATGCTGCAATTTTTCAGATCTGTATGGACTTGGAGATTTTTGTCTTATGGAAAGTAGAAGTTAATTTTGCCATCATCCAAAATGGTTTGGAAGAAACTTGCTGTGTTTTATTAATAGTGATATCTGTATCATGTGGTTATTAATGAAAATATCAACTGCATGTGTGTTCAAATGCATATGTTTGTCTATTGTGCTAGTAGTCGTTGACCTGTGGATCTTGCTTTTAATGCACCTAAGGCTGCAATAAAGAGATGATGATGACCTATTTCAACTCGGTGATGTAACAAGTTTTTCTTCACATGAAAATTTAGATCTTTTATCATATAGCTGTGTGTAAAATAGGTCATTGGTATTTGTGTTTGGATTTAATTCTGTTTTCTGGTCAAGTGTAGAGGAAACAGAAAAGGAAAAGAAGGGCTTGAACATTTATATATAGAACAACTCTCAACTTAGATCTCATAGCGAGTTTATTTCATATCCACCCAAACAAATTCCGTTATCTTTGCTGTGGCATCAATTGTTTCATCTTATTGTTTTGAAGGTGATAGCCTTCTTGGGAATTATTCTTGTTTTCTGTATGGGATTTTTCTGGTTTATGAAAACTAATAGCTACCAAGTTTTTAAAGGCTTTTTAAGTTTTTTTCTTAGCAACACATAACAGATATCCCCTATTAATTTCTACAACTGTTGTGCCATTAGTTTACTCTGTGTGCCCTAACCCTAGATCTTGGTTTTATATAGCTGTTCTAATATTTCATTCGATCAACTCTCCACAGTTTCCTACCAATAGACATGCTTATCTCAAGTTTGGAATGTTTACATGACAGTTTACTGGAGCTTAGAATGTTCCCATGACATCATTAAGTGTTTATCCTTTTTGTTATCTATGTGGACACTAATTTTCATTGCCTTGCAAGGTGTTTGCAATTTTGCAATTTTCTTGTCGCTGCTGTTGTCTATTAACTCTCTCGTATTTCTTGACTTGTATGTTAGTAAAATGTTGAATATTTCAATTTTTATGCCTGCATAATGTATCAGGATAAAATACAGCATTAGTATTGTTGCTGACAAGGGTCTGAAAAAGCCTCAATATACTTCTGCACTTTTGAAAAAGGGAGAAGTTCTATATTTAGAAACACATTCATGCAGGTACTCCCTCCTCTTCTTCTTTTTGTGCTTTCTAGCTTGATACCGCACGTAGGTTTTGGAGGCACATTTTTTTGTCTTATAGTAAAATTGTTTTAGCTTCTGTGTATGATTTTCATTTCTTCCTATAACTTGTTTTTTTGTCTTACAGTAAAATTGCTTTAGCTTCTGTATTGTATGATTTTCATAACTAGCTGAAAGTTGCCACAGAAGTTCTTGATGATGACTTCTGTAATTTCAAGCATTATTTGTTTTGTCGCTTGCCCATGCATAGAAAACAAAATTATATTGGTTTTTGTATTTAAAATATTTAGTAAACCAACATTTTTTTTGTGCGAGTCTGAGGTATTGAAATCATGAAGTTCACGTGGTGAATTCTTAGTGATGTTCTGATTCTGAATTTTTTATTTCTTATGTGAAGGTACGAGCTCTGTTTTACAGGAGAGAAAATGGTGAAAGTGACACGGGCTTCTCAGGTGCATGAAGAGACATACAAGTTCCATAATCACCACCCACATTCCTCAAACGGTGAGAAACACGACTCTGATAATGTTCTTATTGATGTATTCCGGTGGTCTCGCTGTAAGAAACCACTACCGCAGAAGGTCATGCAGTCAGTTGGGATCCCATTGCCCCTGGAACATGTTGAGGTACTTCATTTCAATTTCTTTCCTTGAAACATCTCTTCATATTTAGATGTTAAAGTTTGGCATATTTTCACGAAGTCAAATAAGGAGACTGCAGAAGAAATTCATATTGTCAGCTTGTAGTTACGTTTTTCTTCAGTTTTTTTTATCCTTCTAGGCTGACCGCAACATCTGTGATTTTGAACAGGTATTGGAGGAGAGTCTTGACTGGGAGGATGTGCAATGGTCACAAACTGGTGTTTGGATAGATGGAAAAGAATTCACACTTGCTAGGGTGCGCTTTCTATCTCCAAGTTAGCTATGGCTTCTTGTGTATCTAAAAACAGTTGTGTAACAATTTGATGTATGCAGGAATAATATTTGGTTTGTAATGGTTTTATTTCTTAAATAAATCAAAGAATTGCAGTTAATCTCTTTTCTTTTTCGTTTATAAAAAATCGATTTGACTATATCCGTACCAGAGTATTTGAGCAACCAAAACAGAAGAACTGGAACTTTGAATATTGGGAAGTCTGGCATTTCTTCCATTCCAAGCAAGCTAATGACTAAAGGAAAGCATCTCTCTGCAATTTCTTATTAGCAAAATTAATTTCAGTAGACCAGATTGATCGAATTTGTATCCATGTTCTCCTGACTACTTGGGACACTTTGCTTGAAGACATCACGAGATCCAGATATTTAATATGAAATTCATCACAAGCTGATGAGCTCACTTCTTTGCCAAAAGCAGAGAGTAACAGCATAGTCAGGGTCTGTTAAACCAACTAGCTAGAATTCATGTGTTGAACTACAAAAAACTACAAGGAAAACGAGAGATCACACAGAGACTACATCTTCCAGTATCAATTCTGTTAGATTAAGGATTTCATCTTGGTGCAAGTGCAAAAGCCAAACGGATCTGCAAGTTACAGTGTGCCAGATGGGAAGCAACGTCTGAGCCCTCTCAAACAAGGAAGGAGATAATTTTATCCGTGCTAGCTGCTGACCCGAGTACTGAATTATGTTATTACTGGCCAAGTGATTTTCTTTGGAGTTTGTATCTTCATTAATTCATTAGACTTAAGGATTTAAAGCTGTGTAATGTGAACTCGTTGAATAGTTAGTGTGAATAAATAAAGCAGAAAGTGACATGAAGTTTGCACGGTGGTTTCCATGAGAGTAATCATTGCATACAGGACAAAGAAAGCACAAGGGATTTGCACCTCTGTTTTATTTCTTTAGAGTGAAAAAACATAAAGATGCTTGCTAATTGCAACGACTTTAATAAATAGTCTTCCACTAAGAGATCTCTCTCTCAGTGTACCATTGATTTCCTAATTTCTTATTCGATAAAGTTGCTTCCTCTAAGAGAGAGATCTCTCAGTATCCCTTGATTTCCTAATTTCCCTCACCAAATTTTAATTTGACATAGTTGCTTGCACATTGCACTTTGATGAAGTTGCTTCCACTAAGAGAGAGATCTCTCAGTATACCATTGATTTCCTAACTTCCCTCACCAAAATTCTTAAACCTATAGCATGTCTTGAAACGGATCATAATTTTCTGATTCCACAAACTCGTGGATAGAACCTGAGGAGGCCAGCCGTCTTCTGAGAGTAAGTTCAGTAAAATCTAATTAGTAAATGTCGTTTCATATATAGTATCTTGAAATAATTTGCAGAGGAGTGAATAGTCCCAATGTATTTCTATCTTCATTAATTCATTAGACTCAAGGATTTCCTAAGCCGTTCACCTTCACCCATTCCATCCTCAAGAGGTAGAGCACATAACCCTTAACGTGGAGTTTTGCAACTGAACCACGGAAACTTGTTCACCTAAAGCAACTAAATTCAATGAATCCAGGAACAGGGGCTTGATCGCCTCCATGTACTTCTAGCATTCTTACACAAGGTTGAGAATCTAGCAGATTCAATATTCCAATTCTTGCATCTCCAGTTATAACATTTACTTCATCCTTGAAAACAGCTGCGTGTTCAATCCAGGTGCACAATTTTCACTCAATAGCATAGTCAAAGAAAATCCAATCGCCCTCATGATATCCTCCATGTCTATAGAATTGTAAATAAGGGAATATAGTGGAAAAAGCTATGAGAAATTGTTGATCGCCTAAAGGAACTCGTAGAATGAACGTACAATGGCGATTGCATGGACTACGAATATAAAACTGATGTCCCGTAAAAGAACCTTTGCAATGTCTTCCGGGATCTTTCAGGAACAAATGTCACAAGAACATCCAGTGCAGGCTTTACTAACAAGGAAACAGTAGCAAATGAGCACTAGTCCTGCCCTCTTATGACAGTATTGAGATCATGTATCAGATCTGATTTTATATTGGTCATTTCCATGTATAACTTGTTTTTTTAATTATGAAAGATTGTAGTTAAATCTGATATTACGACAAATCAGATCAAAATGTTTCTATTTGACTAAAATGGTTGCTGCTTCTTGTAGTTGTGTAGTCAGTGATGCTCTCTCTTCCTTTTCTCATCTCCTGATCATGGCCTCTTAATTTTCAAATGCTACTGATGGTCTTTACACTAGGTAAGAGGCTCTAAGATTATAAGCAGAGTTTCTATTTGAATAACATGGTCAAATCAAGCCAAACCATGGCCATTGTCGTGAGCCAACTTTTTGGAATTTCTCACTTAACTGTATCAATACCTCTAAATTTCATCTCTTATGAAGATGAAACCCCTTTGACGCATACGAGGAGAAGGATAAGAAGTTAAAACTCTCAAAAACCAATATTACTATATTTACCCCTTTAATGGATTAGAATTGCAATCAATGTGAATGACTTGAGAAATTCGAAAGTGAAAGCGAAATGATATAATTAAAGCTTAAAAGCAACTTGCTATATCTTATAATATAATCTTTGGTAGGAAAGTTGTTCCTTCCTTCTTATTAAACAACACAATAATTAATTATCATTGATCTATCATTGTAGCTAGCTACTGCAACATTGACTTTGTCTTCTGCTTGATCTCTCTCATTATACCATTGACTTCCTAATTTCTCTTACCAAATTTCTTAAACCTTTCTGATGATCTGTGCTTCCTGTTTTTGATTGAATCGAATCATCTCATCTGGAGTTCAACCATCTTTCTTGCTTGCTTGCAAGGTAAATCCTACTTTCTTTTCTTGTTTTTCTACCACTAATTTTGTTTCTGCGCTTATTTGTTTTGGCTCTTCCAAATAGAAGTGCCCATCTGGTTGTAGAGTTAGTGAGTAGGATTCTTGATTGAACAGGTACAACTTAATTATATATGTTGCTTAATCAATAATTGAACTCAAAACTCGTACTATAGCTTTGTTCTTGCATGGTCATTTTACTATCAACTTCAACTACTTATCTTGAAAATAGCTGCTCTCAAGGTTTCTCTGTCTGTTGACAGCCTCTTGTCAGCTTTATAGGTGACCAGTTTGACTACTCTTTCTCATATTCTTGCGCTTACATTTTCAGATCAGCTTTCCCGGAATTTCAACATTGGGGTGCGTCCACACATTAACTCACAGAGCAATTAGCTTCAGATTCTTTTGAATCCTGGTAAAGTATTTATATTTCATCTTCTTCATTTTGTTGCTGTTATCGTTTTTGACATGTAACTATTGTTTGAATCCTTTCTCTCTAGATTGAACTGTCTAAGTTTGGTGTTTTAATAAGGTGTTGTAGAAATTTTATTGAGAAACTTAGGAGTTAGGATCTTCAATGGTTTCCAAATATAAATAAATTGATCTTTCTTTGTTTTTTATAATCCATTCCTATTGGAGTTCATACCAAATTCATTGTTTTTTCTTTTTATTTATTCTAGTCTCAACCTTTCCTTTCCAATTACTTTTTATTCAATATTTTGGTTTTCTTTTTATATGTAGGGCAAAATGGTTCAGTCAAATGATCCATTTTGGCATCATGTTAAGGAGATGAAGTGCTTGTATTGCGGCCATCAATTTGCTAAGGATACTTCCATTTCAAGGATCAAATGGCATTTATTAGGAGAGAAGGGGCATGGTGTTGCAATTTGTAGAAAAGTGTCTAAACAAGTTCAAGAAGCAGCTTTTCAAGCTATGCATGGTCGCAACAAAAGACATAAAAGCATAGCAAGTTCAAGCAATGTAAATGATAATGCCATTTCAACCACTTCACAAGAACAAAACTATAATGAATTCGACAATTTGGCAGGAGATGCAGGAACGACACAAGCAGCGGATAGAATTGGTCATACACTTGGAAGAAGTTGGGATGAGATCTATAATTTTTTAATGGAGGATGATATAGAGAATGGGACTGGAGGAGTAGTGCAGCCTGGTGCTGGAGCTAGCTCTTCTGGAGGGCTTACAGGCAACACAAATGAGATTCCAGGAGATGCGGTACCAACGACAAAGCTGGTGGGTCAAGCATTCGAAGACCATAAGAAGACTATCTTGTCTTGGTTGATGCACGATGAAGTTTCAACTATTGGCATCTATGGGATGGGCGGAGTGGGTAAGACAACATTAGTGAAACATATATATGATCAGCTTCAAAAAAGTCGAGACAGTTTTTGTCATGTTTACTGGATTACTGTTTCACAAGATACCAGCATTAGTAGATTGCAAAACAATATCGCCAGACGGATTGGTTTTGATCTTTCTAATGAAGGCGAGGAGCTGTATAGAGCTTCCGATTTGTCAAAGGAATTAATGAAGAAACAGAAATGGGTTTTGATTTTAGATGATCTGTGGAAGGCTTTTGAGCTACCCAAGGTAGGAGTTCCTATCCAAGCTGTTAAGGGATGCAAGCTGATTCTTACAACACGATTAGAAAAGGTCTGTCAACAGATGGATACCCAACACAAAATCAAAGTAAGTCCTATATTGGAGGAAGAGGCTTGGACTTTGTTTATTGAGAGACTTGGACATCAAATGGCACTTTCTCCAGAAGTGGAACAAATTGCAAAATCTATCACAAAGGAGTGTGGTGGTTTGCCTCTGGGAATTATAACAATGGCTGGAACCATGAAGGGGGTGGAGGACATACACGAGTGGAGGAACGCTTTAGACGACCTGAGACAATCAAGAGTTAGGAAAGATGATATGGAGCCTGAAGTATTCCACATACTGAGATATAGTTATAACCATCTAAGTGAGGAAGCAGTGCAACAATGTTTCTTGCACTGTGCATTATTCCCAGAAGACTTCAAGATCCCTAGAGAGGATTTGATAGCTTATTTGATTGATGAGGGAGTGATAGAAGGGCTGAGAAGTAGGGAGGCAGAATTTGACAAAGGCCACTCGATGCTTAATAAACTTGAAAGTGTCTGCCTTTTGGAAAGTGCTAAAATGTACGGTGGTCGTAGATGTGTCAAGATGCATGACTTGATTAGGGATATGGCCATCCAAATATTACAAGAGAACTCTCAAGGCATGGTTAAAGCAGGTGCACAGTTAAGAGAATTTCCGGGAGCAGAGGAGTGGACAGAGAATCTTACAAGAGTTTCACTGATGTGTAACCAGATTGAAGAAATTCCTTCCAGACATTCACCAAGGTGTCCCAGTCTTTCAACTCTATTGTTGCTCAGAAATCCACTGGTGCACGTTGCAGATTCATTTTTTGACCAGTTGCGTGGGCTCAAGGTTCTTGATCTGTCTCATACAGGTATCACAAAACTGCCTGATTCTGTCTCTGAATTGGTGAATCTCACTGCATTGTTGCTCAACGAATGTCGGAAGTTAAGTCATGTACCATCATTGAAAAAGCTCAAGGTACTGAAGAGGTTAGATCTCTCTGCTACTTTGGCACTTGAAAAGATGCCTCAAGGCATGGAATGTCTATGCAACCTAAGGTGTCTTGTAATGAATGAATGTGGTGAAAAGGAGTTTCCTAGCAGAATATTATCGAAACTCTCTCACCTGCAAGTCTTTGTGTTATGGAAGGATTCGTTTGTTAAAGGAAAGGAAGTAGGATGCTTGAGGAAGTTGGAGAGTTTGAAATGCCGTTTTGAAGGTTACTCAGACTACATGGAGTATCTCAAATCTCGGGATGAGACCCAATCACTAACAACATACAGAATTGTTGTAGGACTGCTACATCACAATTATTACACAGAAGAAAAAAATAAAGTAATTGTTTTGGGTAAATTGAGTATCAACAGAGACGGAGATTTTCAGGACATGTTCTCGAAGGACATTCAACAACTGACCATTGATGAATGTGATGACGCAAAAAGTTTATGTGATGTTTCCTCTCTAATAAAGTATGCAACTGATCTGGAGTATATCGAGATTAGTAGTTGCAATAGCATGGAGAGCTTGGTTTCATCTTCTTGGTACTGCTCTACTCCACCTCCATCTCCATCTTATGATGGTATATTTTCTGGTCTTAAGGAGTTCTATTGCAATCACTGTACAAGTATGAAGAAATTATTCCCTCTTGTCTTGCTGCCAAGCCTCGTAAACTTGGAAGTGATTAGCGTTGATGAATGTGAGAAAATGGAGGAGATAATAGGTAGAACAAGATCAGATGAAGAAGGGGTTTCGGGTGAAGAAAGCAGCAGCAGCAGCAACGATCTTAAACTCCCAAAGCTAAGAGAACTGCACTTGGAAAATTTACCAGAACTGAAAAGCATTTGCAGTGCAAAACTGATTTGCGATTCTATCGAAGTAATTAAAGTAAGAAATTGTGAGAAAATGGAGGAGATAATAGGTGGAACAATATCAGATGAAGAAGGGGTTATGGGTGAAGAAAGCAACAGCAACACCCCCATTCTCAAACTCCCAAAGTTAAGAAAACTGGTATTGAAGCGATTACCGGAACTGAAAAGCATCTGCAGTGCAAAACTGATTTGGGATTCTCTCAAAAAAATTAAAGTAATGAATTGTAAGAAGCTGAAGAGGATGGGAATTTGTCTTCCGTTGCTTGAAAATGGCCAGCCATCTCCTCCCCCTTCTCTTAGAGAAATCGAGATAGATTCAGAAGAATGGTGGGAGTCAGTAATGGAGTGGGAGCATCCCAACACCAAGGATGTGCTGCGTCCCTTTGTAAGGGTTTTTGGAGGATGAGCGACGACACTGCCCTTAATATAATATTAAATTAAGAGTAAGCATCGTTGTTTTAGTGAATTAAGCTTCAGCTATGTGTCCCCTTTAGCAATGTTTGTTTTTTTAAATGTAGTTTTTGAAAAATTATTATGTATTTGTTTAGTATTAAAAAAATTAGTTAATAGAAAATATTTTTAAGTAAAAAAATTAAAAAATTATGAGAAATTTAGATAAAAAAATATTAAAAATATCATATTATTTGTTAATTATATCAAATTCAATCTTTAAATTTTTGTTATTTGTTTTTTCCTTATCATTTTTTTATTAAAATTTTTTATATATTAAATTTAGTTTTTATTTTTTCTATTGTTATTTATTTTATTTAAAATAATTTATAAAATATTTATTATTATTATTTTAATTTCTTCATTATTTTTTTTTATTTTTTAGATTTGTTCTCTATTATTTTAATTATTATTTATTTTATTTGAGATAATTTATAAAAAAATTTTAATTTTATTCTCATTCAATTTTTAAATTTTTATGATTTATTCCTCGTTATTTTAATAAATTTGAGAAAAATAAAATATTAATAAGTTATTTTGTAGTTAATTTTTTATGATATAATTAAATATTAGAAAATATTTTCTAATTTATTTTTTATTACATTACCAAACGTCATAAAATAATTTATTATTTAAAAATTTATTTTCTAAAAAAATTTATTTTTCAATAAATAAACGGTGCTTAATAACTTATGTGCTTATTATATTACCCGGAAGACATTTATTTAGAGAGTAAAGCATCAAATGCAGGACAGTGGTGCCGTGGGAGCTTCCTAACGCTGGCGATGGCCTCCGTCCCTTTAGGGAGTTTTCATTCGTATGCCATAGCCATAACAATTAAGGAATATAGCATATCACCGGAGCAAAAGTGCCTTTTCATTTTAATGAATTTTTTATTTAAAAAACTGATATTATGATATAAATTGATTTTTTAAAGTATTTATTATTTAAAAATATATATCTAACAAGATGGATGAAAAATAAATCTCAATCCATATTAAAGAATGTTGATAAATTTCAAAATTTATTTCATTGCTGGGCTGCGACAACTGTTTTTTTTAGTGGTATTGCAGTGGCTTTATGGTTAGGTATTGGAGCAACTTTACCTATTCAATCCGTAGAGCTATTAAAGTCATCGCCATTTGCAAGCAAACTTTATGTTTTTTACTCTAAAGAAATAAAACAGAGGTGCAAATCCCTTGTGTGCTTTCTTGTTAGAGAGGGCTCTGACATTGATTCCCATCAGGCACACTGTAACTTGCAGATCCGTTTGGCTTTTGCACTTGCACCAAGATGAAATCTTTACTCTAACAGAATTGATATTGGAAGGTGTTGTCTCTGTGTGATCTCTCGTTTTCCCTGTAGTTTTTTGTATTTCAACACATGAATTCTAGCTAGTTGGCTTAACAGACCCTGACTATGCTGTTACTCTCTGCTTTTTGCAAAGAAGTGGTCTCATCAGCTTGTGATGAATTTCATATTAAATATCTGGATCTCGAAGCAGGGTGTTCCAAGTGGTCATCAGTATTATCCAAGGATGATTACATACTGCATGCTTCTAAGACAAATAAAAAATGTATCAGTTCATTTAATTTATTAGTTCTAAGCCATTAAACATATTGCTATTTCGTGATCATTCCAATTTTCTTGCTGCTGCTGTTGTCCATTAACTCTCGTATTTCTTGACTTATCTATCAGTAAAATGATTGATGTTTCCATTTTGATGCTTGCAAAATGTATCAGTATAAAATACAGCATTAGTATTGTTGCTGACAAGGGTCAGAAAAAGCCTCTCTATACCTCTGCACGTTTGAACAAGGGAGAAGTTCTATATTTAGAAACACATTCATGCAGGTACTCCCCTCTTTTCTCTTCTTTTTTTCTTTTCTTTTGCTTTCTAGCTTGATACACATTCATGCAGGTACTGCAAAATGAAGGGATGCATGCATATCTCAGGAATTAACAATGGTGGAGGGATAGCTTTTAATTTCCACTGACTTCGTGACAAAACGCACCGTACTAAGCTGTCGTGAAGCTGTTACTTATGCGCACCGTTTCAATAAATTGTAATTCTCATTACTGTGAAGGTTGTCAAGTCAGCACCGTCTTCTGCTCTGCCTAAATATACAGGCAGTTGTAACATAATGGGCATGCAAAAAATGAATGAGAACTTCTGTGGATTCCCTCTTTTCTCTCCGTCGTTCTCTCGCTCCCTCTCTCTCGTTCTCTCTTCTCAATCTTTCTGATTCCACTGGGTTCAACACCTATTGGAGGACTCTTAATCGGGTTGTTACCTATAGATCGTGATCTTATACCAGCTTTGTGATGCATGCAGGAATAATATTGGTCTTTAAATGGTTTTATTTCGTAAATAAATCAAAGATTTTAAGTTAATCTCATTTCTTTATTGTTTATAAAAAATCTACTGGACTGCTTTATCCGTACCAAAGCAATCGAGCAACCAAGACAGAATTACTGTATCATGACCTGATTCTTATGTCTAGCATGTAGATAAGGTTATACTTAATAGATTTCATACTTAATTATAATACACATCCAAACTCACATATAAATTTATATTTTAAATAACTCAATCAGAATTTAATACAATAATAATAATAAAACTAATTTTATAATATAATTTGATTGTTTTAATACAAGAATTAGTATAAATTATACCCACAAAAGCATGTTCTGAAAATCCAATTCATATTAACACTCAAATATTTATACTATTTCTCATGCATATGAAATATTATCAACTCATCTCATTCAAAAGTAAAGACAAACTCAAAAGCAGATACTGAAAGAAAGCTTACTGATGTGTCTCAGGTAGAACATCATGATATTCTAAATACAAAGGAGACATATTAAAAAAAAAAACTCGAAAAAAACATACAACCTGTTTAATACACTTAACTAGGGTCTATACAATAATCCTATATAATTTTAAACTAAATTAGTCATTTTTCTCCAAAACTAAAAAATTAAATTGTTTTCTTAAAATCTAATTCATAAAAAAAAAATAAGACTAAATAATAATTAACTAAATAATCCTTAATCATTCATCAAACTAATATGAAAAAGCTAATTTTAGAGCTAGGGATCAATCTAGAATTTTAGCAGATTTTTAGGGGTCAAATTGGAAAACCAAACTACAAATATCATAAATTCATAACTATACTAGAAGTTTGCCCATAATTTATCCTCAATACTGTCTAGAATATGTAATTATGCTGGAATGTTTGTTAAAATTTCAAGGGTCAAATTGTATTTTTCTCAAATTAAAAGATGAAATTAAAAATATCGTAAACTCATAACTATATTGGAATCTTGCCCATAATTCATCCTCAATTCTGTCTAGAATCTCTAATTATGCTCTAGGTATCATTTTAAAATTTCTCAAAATTTAGGGACTAAACCATAATTTTCATAAATTTAGGGACCAAACTGAAATTTCATCATCTTCAACCTCAAACCCAAACTTTTTCATAGATCCTTACTAATTTACCAAAATTACTAACTCAAATTTATCATTTAAACATACCATAACTCAAAATCATTATCTTTATCTAAAATCTTTCAAAATCAACTAAATAACTCATTATCCATAATAATTAACTCATAATATTCAAATCAATTCAATAATCAACCCAAAACAAAATTTTTAAAACCCTAATCTTCAACAAAACAGTAATCAAAGAAAAAAAAAATACATTTATACACATCAAAACATAAATATTACATTTTAAACTTATTTTCTCTAGCTCTATTATCCTTTCTTTATCTTTCTTTCTTTCTTCTTCTTCTTCTTCTTATTCTTTCCCTTTGCTTCTCTCCTGCCGGTTCTCACTCTCAAATTTTAGATTCCTCTTTAATTCTTTCTTTTTTTCTATTTATCCTAAGTTTTATTCAATTACCAGAGTACTTTTTATTCATTTATATTCACTTTTAAACCTTCAAACTGCTTTTTTCCTATTCTCTTTTTCTCATCATTAGACACTGGAACTTTGAATGTTGGGAAATCTGGCATTTCTTCCATTCCAAGCAAGCTAATGACTAAGGGAAAGCATCTTTCTGCAATTTCTATTTCCATTGAACACCATAATCTCTTGGCAGCAGGATGGATGAAAAAATAAATCGTCTGTATCAATGCTCTCCTCATGACTACTTGGAACACCTTGCTTAAGACATAAGGAGATCAAGATATTTAATATGAAATTCAACACAAGCTGATGATCCAAGTTCTTTGCAAAAAGAAAATAGTAACAGGAAAGTCATTAGCGAGCCGAATTGTTCTTCGGCAACATCACTGTCATGATAATTGCATATGTTCGATCTAACAGTAGACTCAACGGTTGAAACAGTATAATGTACGTAAACATGTTGAATAGTTAGTGTGAATAAATAAAGCAGGTGATTCATGAAATTAAAAATAATTGCCCGTGCTTCCCTTCACGAGATCAGCTCTTACTGACAGACTAATACATGTATGTTTATCCATGCTAGCAGCTGACCCGAGTAGTACTGTTATTTAAAAAAGTACATAATACTGTTGTTTTAGCATCTAACAATAGACTCAAGGATTTGAAGTAGTGTAATGTGAACACGTTGAATAGTTAGTGCGAATAAATAAAGCAAGAGATTCATGAAAGTGACATTGGTGGTTTCCAGGAGGCAGTGAGACTAGTCTTTGCATACAGGACAAAGAAAGCACAAGGCATTGACAATCATTGACTAAAAATAAGCTTGCTGTTTACCTGTGGTAGGTGGAGTTGTAGCTTCCAGCCAATTTCTATTGACTTCTCCAAAGAAAAAACCATAAAGTTGCTTGCAAATTGCAGTGACTTTTTTAGTAGCTAGTCTTCCACTAAGAGAGAGATCTCTCAGTTTACCATTGATTTCCTAATTTCCCTCACCAAATTTCTTAAACCTTTCTCATGATCTGTGCTTCCTTTTTGTGATTGAATCGAATCATCGCGTATTCTGTTCTTGATCTGTATCTTTCTTGCTTGAAAGGTAAATCCTACTTTCTTTTCTTGTTTTTCTACCACTAATTTTGTTTCAAATAAGATTTGCCCATTTGGTTGTAGAATATTAATAAGTAGGATTGTAGATTGATCAATCAGGTAGAACTTAATTATATATGTGTTACTTGATCTATTTTAGAACTCAAAACTCATATCTAGCTTTGTTCTTACATATTGCCATCAACTTGAACTATTTATCTTGAAAACAGCTGCTCTCAAGGTTTCTTTTGTCTGTTGAGTGCCTCTTGTCAGCTTGACAGGTGACTAGTTTGCCTACTCTTTCTCATATTCTTGTGCTTACATTTTCAGATCAGCTTTCCCAGAGTTTCAACATTGGGGCGCGTCCACACGTTTCCCCACTCAGCAATTAGCTTCAGATTCTTTTGTTAAAATTCTTTTGAATCCAGGTAAAGTGTTTATACTTCATCTTCTTCATTTTGTTGCTGTCTTTGTTTTTGAATCTTTTTTAGTAAACCGCAAGCTGTTGAAATCTTATTGAGAAACTTTTAAAGTCCTTGCCTTCTAGAGTTCATACCAAATTCATATATTGTTAATAGTAGTTGTTTTGATTCTTCCAAATAAAAGTATGAGTTTGAGTTCTATGCATTATAGAACTCAAACTCATATTATAACTTTGTTCATTTTGCTTTCAACTTCAACTGCTTGTCTTCAAAACAAGCCGAGTTTCTTTCAAATTTTTATCTGAGATTGCTTTTCTGACAATTATTTAAATTATTCAATAGTTGTTATAATTTTTTTATCTGCTTGAAGTGCATCTCTATACGAAAATATATAGTTAAGTGCCTGCCTATTTAATTTTAGAATTTGTAATGATTGATTTAATTATAAAGATTGATCAGTTTATTTTGTGAACACACTTACGGCATTGTTTTGTAAGGTTGAGGTTTGCACTCTTTTCCTTTGCTTCCTTATTTAAAAAATAATGATTTCTTCTAAATTTTCATTTTAAGATTGAGTTCTTATTTTTCAATTAATTCAACATCCATTTTTATGCGTTACTTTTGACAATTTTTTATTTGATGTTTGAAGGGCCAAAGAAGTCAGCGGTGAAAATGGCTAGACAGAAGGATCGATTTTGGGAACATGATGAGAAGCTGGATGATGGTCGTTTCAACTGTACGTTTTGTGGCTCTAAATTTGCTGCTGCTACTATCATTTCAAGGATCAAATGGCATTTGTCAGGAGAGGAAGGGCATGGTGTTGCAGTTTGTGGACAAGTTCCTCAACAAGGTCAAGAAGCAGCTTTTCAAGCTGTTCATGGTGGCAACAAAAGACATAAAAGCATAGCAAGTTCGAGCAATTTTAATGATAATGCAATTTTAACCACTCCACAAGAACAAAACAATGAAGTCGACAATTTGGCAGGATATGCAGGAAGGATACAAGCACCAGGTACAATGGGTCAAGCACTTGAAGATTTTTCGAAGAGATCAATAATGTAATGGAGGATGATATAGAGAATGGGACTGGAGGACTAGTGCAGCCGGGTGCAGGAGCTAGCTCTTCTGGAGGGCTTACAGGCAACACAAATGAGACTCCAGGAGATCCATTACCTACTAGCTTACATGTTGAAGTCGACAATGTGGCACCGCAAGGGCAACATCTGGAGAGAGTAACTGGGCAGCCTGTTGTAAGAGGTAGTTCTCATGAGAGGCCACTTGTTAATCACGATGAGCCTCAAGAAGATCAACTCTGTCCTCCACTAGTGAACATGGTTGGAGACCCTGGGCAGCCTGTTGTGAGAGATAGCATGAATAGTGTTTTGGTTCTGCCATAGGGTATTGAATTTCCTATAATAATTAGAATATAATATATATAGTTTTAAACCGCATTTTACTACTCAAGTAAACACCATTTAACAATAATATAAATTATTTGCAATTAATAAAAGGGACTGGGTCCATTTGGTCCAGGGAAAGATCTACAATGACACAGTCGCTGATAAAAAATAAAAAACCACATTAACGCAGTTGGAAGTTACGGCAATTCGTCTGCCATAGCCATAACAAGTAAGGAATATAGCATATCACCGAAGCAAAAGTGCCTCTTTTTTTTAATGAATTTTGACCATTTTATGGCTGAGGTTGATTTTAAAAAAAATATGGAATCTTATGTCCTTTTCAGCTAATGCTCTTGACCTTGGATTTGTACAATGATTTTGAAAATGCAGGGTTTTCAGGAACTCCTTAATATTTGGATAGGTCCCAGAAAATGTTGGGGAGCTGGAAAAACTGAAACGTTTGTAAGTGGTTCCATCCAGAGGTTCTCTAATGATTCCCTTTCAAACCAATCATTGTCAATATGATTAACATTTGCTTTCTTAAGAAATGTTCTTGAGAGTTTCCATGATGTTTTGTGTGCCACTAAACAATATGAGATGAAACTCTGTGAAATGGCTTGTTCTCAAGGACTCCAATTACTCTTCGATGGCCTTGGAAAGGGCCAGATAGGCTTTCTCTCACAGGCCCATCATTGTCTTACAGCGCAATCATACAAGATTTTCTGTTTGAATCAATTTTATCTTACAAAACGATTTGATTGTCTTTAAGCTTTCAGTTGAAAGTGCAATTAAGAGCTACGGAAAACCCCTTTTAATTTGTCGACGTACTTGACAGGAAACAAGCTCACCAGATCTGTTCCTCAATGGCTCCTGGAAAGAAACAAGAATGTGCATGTCGATTTCCGCCAGATTAATTTTTCAACTTGAAGTTCTGCTGCAACCCAAAGATTTCCTGTTTCAAAAGTTGCCATAAAAAAATAAAAAATCAAATCCTAATTCAAGAACCTCATAGATGATAACTGTTTGAAGTTTTCTCATTGGTTTTGTCTTTAGGGTGTTTTTGCAAGGTAACTGAATGTTTGATGGTTTCTCTCATCTGTCCTCACTACACTCTATAAGTTTGCGGTAGAAAAATAATAGCTGTAGCAATAGGTCAAAAGTTCTCCATAAAATTGCTTAGGTTTTATATGTAGAACAGAAAACAAAGAAAGCAGAGCAAATTATTAATTCTTAGCCTTAAGTTTGAGGATGGAACTTTTCATTGTTGAAGGAAACCAATTAAAGCTTGTGTACGAGTACATGGATAACAATTGCCTGTCCCGTGCTCTATTTGTTGAGTTTATTTCTTCCATTCATCAGAAGCATTTCTTTTGGAGTTCAAAAAATAAATGTCTTTGGAGTTATTGCTTTGGAAATTGTCAGTGGTAAGAGCAACACAAACTACAGGCCAAAGGAAGAGTTTGTTTACCTTCTTGACTGAGGAAGCTTATACTCTCTAAAATTCTCCTTCATTCTTTGTTTAATGCTGATTGGAAAACATTTGCAAAACATTTGATGCTAGTCTCGGTTTAATGCTCATTGCAAAGTACATTCATGTCTAAAACAAAACTGTCCGTGTCCTGCTTCTAGAAATCAATAAACTTCTATAAATGCAACATTGGTTTCTTTTAGTTTGGACAAAATACATTTCTGCATGTTCCACAGTACCTATAAGTTGATTTTAACTAGAATTTCCTTTTTTCTCTTTTTTTTTTATGAGTAAATATTTATATATCTGAATACTTCTTCATATTTTCAAAATTTATCAGAACATTATTCCATTATTCCTTCCTCGTATGGTAGTGATGAGATAATTGTTTTTGGCAGCACCGGTGATGTTTCGAAAAATAAAGAGAGAGAATAAATAAGAAAATACAACAATGCCTTTGAAGACTTAAAACTAGGTGTAAATGGATGAAAAGCATTAAGATAATTGAATAAAAGCTTGATAAATATAAGTAGAAAAAAAAAGAAACAAAGAAAGAGAAAGCTGCTTTTAGAAAGATAACTGAGAAGAGAGAGAAAGAAGGGAGAAGAAGAAGAGGAGAAGGAGAGGGAACAGAACTTGAGAAACTAAGTTACTGAGGTAAGATTTAAGCATGAATGTGCATAATTGATATTATTGGTTAAGGTTTTGGGTTTTGTTAAGGTTTAGGTTTTATTTGTATTTTAGAGATTAATTAATGAATTGGGTATAAATTGATGGATTGATTATAATGGGATGGGTTAATTGAAGTGTTATAGGTTAGTTGTTAAGTGTTTATTGATTTGTTATGGAATTTTGAGGTTTGGGTAAAATTTTAGAGATATGCTATTTAGGAAAAACTTGTAACGACCAAGCCCAACATGCTGTATATTATTTGTTTTAAGTCTCCCAGTTCACCTATTACCAGAGCTTCCACTCAAGTCCCTCTCATTATTTTGTTGTTGGTAGCCATGGATGACCCTAAAACACGTATAACATGTTAGCAACTAGCACCACTAATAAGGCCCTGACTCTATACGCTCACTTTCGATGTGGGATACCAGAATCAAATGGTTGAATTGATAGATCATTTTAGCTTGTTTGATTTTGGTCCAACAATTGGGTAGAATCGATAGACCAGATGGTATGTTTTGATTCGGAAGATCGATTGGTAAATTTCGGTCTACTAGTGTCCTGGATGGTTTTGATCCACAAGTTGGGTTAAACCAATTAATCTTATAGTGAGGTTAGATTATTCTTTTAGGTTTGATTAGTTATGCTATGTTTGACATCAATTAGTTGTATAGATTCTGATTTATAATTACACATAGGTTCCTAAAAATATAGGGTTATGAATTGAACCTAAATTAAGTATATCAAATAGATTATATGTTTTTTTCAGGTTGTTTTTAGTATGTTTTTTTTGTAATTATTTAATTCTTGTATTCTATGCGTGGGACATCAATATAATTTCTTTAGACATGTACTTTTAAGATCTTTTGCTTTTAAGTAGGCTGAATGAATAATTTTTTATATATTAAAAGATTAGTATAAATATTTTAATTGTTAATATAAAATTTATCATGCTTATTGGTAATTATTATATTAGAGACTACATCTTGATTTCCACACATTAAGGCTCGTATCAATTCTTGCACAATCCCGTAACGCAAGTCTACGCAATCACAGCTACAATTTTCCAATAATCTCAAAGTATGAAACCATAACAAAATGTTGAATGTCGAATTAAGATTTAAAGATTTCATCATATTTTATTTTTATATGAACCAGATCTCATACAACAACTGACATGGCTCGTCTTAGGGTTTTTTTTTTCCCTCGATCCTGCAAGTGCAAAAGCCAATAGGATCAACAAGCTATGGTATGCCAGATGGGAAGTAATGCCAGAGCCCTCTCTTACAAGGAAGGAGACATGCTAGGTGCTGACCCGAGAACCGAAGCATGTTATATTAGCATAACACTTTTGTTTTACCATCTAACAATAGACTCAAGGGTTATAATTAGTGTGAACAAATAAAGCAGGAAGTTTACTTGGTGGTTTCCAGGCAGGGGGGCTGATCATTGCAAACAGGACAAAGAAAAAGGGCTTATCATTGATTCTGATAAGGTGGGAATTCCTATCAAAGTGAAGGGATGCAAGCTAATTCTTGCAACTCGATCGTGAGGTGGGAACTTTTAATTATTGAACACAGCGTTCACTATCATATGGAACCGTGTGATTGCAGTGATGCTGCTTTCCTCAAAGTCTAAGCAAGGAAACCGTGAATTTGTGAATGAGATAGGAATGATGTTTTGTTGGAGCAAACCAATGATGTTTTGCCCTCCCACCTCATGATAACTGCTCAGCTCGTGGTTCAATTGGAAACCATATATCGCAGCAATGAAAAGATACCTTCACAAACCAATGATGTTTTGCCCTCCCACCTCATGATAACTGCTCAGCTCGTGGTTCAATTGGAAACCATATATCGCAGCAATGAAAAGATACCTTCAATTCCATTGATTTCATTTAATTTCTCTCATCTGTTTTTTCTCCATATCTTTTCCCAAAAAAAGGATTCTTTTGCTTTCTTTCACACCCTTAATAAGATAATTAACTGTTTTTTTTTCTTTTTTTTCTTCTGATAGTCAATAGCAGGCTCTTTTACGCATCTTTTAATTAATAAAATGACTTATTATTATTAAACTTGAGAAAAGTTGCTGTTGCCTATCTTGTTTCCCTCACGCACTAACAGTTTGAAAGCAGCTGGATCGGCGGCGCTTGCAATACACGGGCAATGCTAAACCATTGATCGTCTTGCTCCCATCAGCAAGAATCCTAAACCACTCGGAGAAAATATTAGGGAGTGAACTTTATCAATGTTGTTTGGTTATTAATCTCAATATATAATTATTTATTAGGATTTTTCTCTTCAAGTTAGAGCTAGAATTATTGTGATTTTAATAGCGTTACGAAACCCCCACAAGTTACAGATTTTGCTGGACATCTTTCATTAATCTTGTACCTCACTGCCATTATTAACGTTCAGTAATACTGCCTACTACTGCTCAAACTTTTCTGGCAACTCACCTATAGTTTCAAGCATCCAATTGATTTCCTGCAGTAGTACTGCTTACTACTGTTCAATTCTTTTACCTCCCACAAGAAATGATTGATTTCTTCAGACGCATCTGTAGCGGAATGTGCAATGGTGGCTTCCAAACTGAGAGGTGATATCTCCAAGATCTCCATAACCTCCAACTACGGTCACCAGAAAAAGCAATGGGGTCAAGGGCATGGGAAGCACAAAGAAAAATATTTGAGGATGAATTGAAATACCAAACGCATAAAGAATAGGGAGATATACCCATCTGACAAATTATGAAAGAACTGCTCCATTTATGTCAAAACGACTTGTTAGAGGTTCTGCTCCAACAGGTACAATCTGAGATGGTGATACAATCAGTATTAGTGTCCTGGAACAGATGAAGAAGATTTAACTAAGAATGTGAAAAGTTTTAAATATTACGGAGCAATTATTAATATTAAGGAAAAAAAAACCTGATTGCCATTGTAAAATTCTTACAGCACTGGGACGCATTGTAATGTTCATCACAGTACTGTAATTATTCGTT